GACACTACTGCTAATGTTGCTACAATACAACTACTTTCACTAACTATCACTACTACTACTAACTACTACTCACTACTACTACTACTACTGCTGCTGCTACTACTAGCTACTACTACTACTACTACTACTACTACTACTACTACTCCTACTCTACTACTACTAACTACTACTACTACTACTACTACCACCAATACCACTACTACTACCACTACTACTACTACTACTACTACTACTACTACTACTACTACTACTACTACTACTACTAATACTACTACTACTACTACTACTACTACGACTGTTACTACTACTTTCACTACTCCCACGGCTACGGCGAGTACGACGACGACTACCACTACTACCATTTCCACGGCTACCACTAGTACGACGGCTACTTCCGTACTTCCACTTTTATTACTACTACCACTACCACGACGACGATTACTACCACTACTACTACTACTACTACTACTACTGCTACTACTACTACTACTACTACTACTACTACTACTACTACTACTACTACTACTACTACTACTACCTACTACTACTACTACTACTACTACTACTACTACTACTACTACTACTACTACTACTACTACTACTACTACTACGACTACTACTACTACTACTACTACTACTACTACTACTACTACTACTACTACGCTGCTACTACCACTACTTTGTGCTACGAATACTGCTGCTACTACTACTTCTTCTCTACTACTACTACTACTACTACTACTACTACTACTACTACTACTACTACCACCACGAGTACACTACTACTACTACTACTACTACTACTACTACTACTACTACTACTAACTACTACTAGTTACTACTACTACTACTACTACTACTACTACTACTACTACTATTACTACTACTACTACCACTACTACTACGACTGCTACTACTACTACGACTACTACTACTACTACTACTACTACTACTACTACTACTACGACTGCTACTACTACTACTACTACTGCTACTACTACTACTACTACTACTACTACTACTACTACGACTACTACTACTGCTACTACTACTACCAATACTACTACCCATACTACCACTACTAAAACCTATACTTCTGCGACGGGTGTTACTAGTAGTGTTATTCCTGCTCCTACTCGTGTTGGAGCTCCCCATCCTCGCCATCATCATCATCAACGGCATCAAATCATCAGCATCCTCATCATCATCATCATCATCGTCATCATGAGCATTTCATCATCATACGCATAATCATCCGCATCATCATCAGCAGCATCAGCATCAGCATCAGCGTCAACAGCATCAGCATCATCAGCATCAGCATCGTCATCGTCATCACCATCCAGGCGCACGCGGCAGCCTCATCATAATCAGCAGTAGCATCATCACCGTCATCAACATCATCAAAATCATCCTCAACCGCAGCATGAACATCATTATCTTTGTCATTATCATGGTCATCATCATTATCATCACCATGGTCATCACAATCATCATCGTCATCAGTATCGTTCGCATCATCATTATCACTATCAGCATCATCATCCGAACAGTCGCCACCCAAACTGTTCTGTTGGGCTGGGACGGAGGCGCGACTTCCCGTATGCAGCTGGAATATCAAGCATGACCCCCTTTACTGCAAGCACTGTTTCGGGAAGTCGGTCCTAGTTTCTCCTGTCCCTTCCCACTCGTCAGCCTTCAAAAAAAGGCCAACGATGAATGGACTGTGTAGCTGGAGGACAGGTCAGCTGGAGAGTGCTTATGGGCTTCACACATTAGCGGCACCTCGTTGCAGAAACCTGACCAGACAAGAACGGGAAGCGTCCTTCTGTGTCCTGGGTTTCTAAGGTATCCTACGTTCTTAATGTTCTTCATATGCGATGCGAAAGTCTGTCGTGGCGTGCGTGCATTTGCGCGTGCGCGTGCGTGCGCGGAATACGTGCATGGGCGCCCGTGCGTGGTAGTCTGCGGCACTGCTGTGTTATGTCGTGCTGCCCTGCCGTGCTCCTGCGGTCTGCGTGAACGTCTGTTGCCTCTCTGTGTGTGCGTGTGTGCGTGTGCGTGTGTCTGTGTGTGCGCGTCCGTGTGCGTGTGCGTGTGCGTATGTGCGTGTGCGTATGTGCGTGTGCCTGTGGGTGCGGCTGTGTGAATAGATGTTCTATGTGTTCTGCCGTGCTCCTGCGTGTTCTGCCGTGCTCCTGTGTGTTATGCCGTGCTTCTATGTATTATGCCGCGGTCCTGCTCTGCCGTGCCCCTATGTGTTCTGCCGTGTTCCTGTGTAATCTGCCGTGTTCCTGCGTGTTCTGCCGTGCTGCTGCGTGCTCTGCCGTGCTCCTATGTGTTTTGTGTGATCTGCCGCGCTCCTGTGTGTTCTGCCATGCTCCTGTGTGTTCTGCCGTGCTCCTATGTACTCTGTGTGTTCGGCCGTGCTCCTCGTGATCCTGCGTGTTCTGCCGTGCTCCTATGTGTTCTGCCGTGTTCCTGCGCGTTCTGCCGTCAGTTCTGCCGTGCACAGTTCTGCCGTGCACCTATGTGTTATGCCGTGCTCCTGTGTGTACTGGCGTGCTCCTGTGTGTTCTGCTGTGCTCCTGTTTGTTCCGCCGTTCTCTTACGTGTTTTGTGCGTTCTGCCGTGCTCCTGTTTGTTCTGCCGTACTCTGCCGCGCTCCTCCTGCTCCTGTGTTCTGCCGTGCTCCTGTGTGTTCTGCCGTACTCCTGCGTGTACTGCCGTGTTCCTGTATGTCATGCGTTCTGCATGTTCTGCCGTGCACCTGCGTGTTTTGCCGTGCTCCTGTGCGTGCTGCCGTGCTCCGATGTATTATGTGTGTGTTCTGCCATGCTCCTCGTGTTCCTGTGCGTTATGCTGTGCTCCTGTTTCTTCTGCCGTGCGCCCGAGTGTTCTTTGCATTCTGCCGTGGTCCCGCGCGTTGGTTGGTGGGGCCTTAAAGGCAGGAAAAGCAAAAAAAGGACCGAGGGGCCTCCAGGGGCCTCCAGCGCCACCCGAGACACGCCCTCCCAAGAGGGGCCACCTAGGGCCGCCTCTCAACACGGGCCAGGGAACGCGGACGGCAAAGCCAATGGCTCCGGCCCCCAACCCGCCCAAGCCAACCATGCAAGCACTGCGAGAACAGAAGCTACACATGATCACTACCCAAGCTTGACTGCATTGCAAATACACAACGTGCACATTCAAACGCAGGAGGCATAACTCACTGAACCATCATTCACGATCCACATCTCCATTCCAAGATGAGGCGATGAATGATCTCCCGACTCAAAGAAATCCTGGGGCTCCACCTCGATCGACTCCTCGAGGCTGGCCTCCCAGGCTACATCCCTGGTCCTCAGTCGGGCTTCCAACATTGGCAGCTGGTGGCCTCAGAGACCAGACTCACGAATGAAATCATGCCAGGCGAGGCGGCCCCCAGACTCCTTGAGGACGAAAGGTAGGCCTGCCCTGCACCTCACCCCGACGGAATCTATCTCGAGCCAACCTGCCTTCCAGCGCAGGAGCTGCGCTTCCTTCTTAGTAGCCCGCAGCTGCCCCTGCAGGGAGCAAATGTGAGCTACCTTCGACCAGTCGGCGAGCCATCGCCGCACTTCGCCCTCGGCGTCCTCGGTCGGCAGGGCCAGCTCAGCGAGCCTCGCGGCAGCTCGACCGCCGCCTCCGCCTCCACGGAGGAGTGCGGCTTCGTTCTCGCCGAGGTAGTTCGCGATCACTCCACTGAGCGCCGACGCAGCGGTGGCAAAGCAGGCAGCATCGCCGTCGGCATGCTCCTGTCCCTGGCCGCCTACGCTGTCGTCGTCGCTGTCGTCGTGGCTGACGGCCTCGCCCAGGCGGCCACTGACGGACAACAGCAGCGGCGAGGACTCGCCAGCCGCAGGCACGGCATGGTCCACGAAGGCGCCGCCGTCGCCCCCGTCGCCGCCGCACTCGCTCTCGCCGTGGCTCTGGATGCCCAGCGCGCCCAGCAACAGGTCGCCGGGGTCGGCCCGCTGGCGCTCGCCCTCGGCCTCAGCTTCCAGAACAGCGAGCCGCCAGCCCGCCGCAACCCCCTGCGCGAAGGCCTGGCCCGCGGACGCCGCGACGAGGTCGAAGGCCTGCCACGCACCAGGCGCCAGCACCTCGGCCAGCGGAAGGGCGCGCGGCTCGACGCGGATCCTGGGGGGCGCCGAGGGCTCCTTCACATCGCCGCCGGCTGGCACGTTTCCCCACTCGCGCACGTAGGCCTCGCGCCACACCCCCGGCGGCCGCTCCAAGGCCGGAGGCGCCGCGAGCGGCGCAGCGCCCAGGACCTGGGCCTGCGCCAAGGCCGCCTCGGAAACCTCAGCGCGGCGCGCTTCGGCGGGGACAGGCCGCAGACGAGCTTGTCCTGGAGGCGGCGCGTGCCGCGCCCAGTTGCCCTCCTCGAGGTCGAACTGGGCATCGAGCAGCACTGCAGGCGCGGCGCCGAGCAGCCTCACAGCTGCCAGGGCGTCGCCGCGGCAGGGCGCGAAGCCGCCGAGGACGTCGGCGAGCTGCCAGCGCGCCGTCAGCGCACGCCGCAGGGCCTTGGTCCGCTGCGCCAGCGCCGCGGCCCTGGCGAGCCCGAGCTCCTGGCGGCGCGCGCGCCGCAAGCGCAGAGCCAGGGCGCGGGCAGACGCAGCCGCCCAAGCCGCTCCGCACCCGGAGTGCCCCATGGCCTCTGGCGGGCGCGCCCGCGCGCCCGAGGGCCTGCCGTGAGCCAGGCTCGCTTGAGCCAACATGGCTACGGAGTGGTCCTGCGCGTTAAAATTAAAGTTAAAGATAAAAACGGGGCCTTCAAGGCAAAGTGCAAGCACACGGACAGGGCCAGACGGGACCCGCGTTCCCGAGAGACGCCGAGTCCCAAAAGGCACCGAGGGCGGCGGAAGCCTGCTCCCAGGCGGAGCAGCAGGCGCGAGCCACAGCGATGCAACCTTTCACTCACTCACTTGCGGACAGTCCGCCACGGCGCGCCACTCGGCGGCGTACCCTGCGGCCTTCCAGGGCTCCGCCCTCAGTGCCAGCCGCGGCGGCGAGCCCCTCACCGACGACCTCGAACTCGCCGAGGTTCCCCACTCTCGCCGCAGCTGGGCGCCGCTTGGGCGGGCTGGCGGCGACCGCGGCAACGGCCGCACCCGAGGGGCCTCCTCCTGGGTCCGCAGCCACTCGCGGCTCCGCAGCTGCCGCTGGGGCGCTGCCTGCACTGGTCGCCGTGGCCGAGGGGTCTGCAGCTGGCTCCGCTGCCGTGCCAAGCCACTCCAGGCACCGCTCCTGCGCGTGCTCTGGCACTGGACCCTGCGAACGCAGCGTAGGGATGCCCTCTCCTTTCACTCTGTGCCTGGCAGCTCGTGGCCCCTCTTGCCTCCTGCCTCCAGGCTGGAGTCCACGTAGCCACAGGCTGCGCTGGTTCTTGCCGCCCTCGTCGGTCTTGTCGCCTGGGCACCGCTCCTTGAGGCGAGGCTTGACCCCCGAGCGGCCGCCCAGCGCCATGTAGGCCCTACACTTGGAGCACGCCACGAGCTCCTGGGTGCCCTCACCTTCTCCAGCACAGGCGTAGGACAGGGCATGTCCCAGGATGCTGAAGGCTACCGCACTGGCCGAAAGGGCTGCCGAGCTGTTGCCTGTCGAGCGGATGCTCTCCAGCCGTGGCCGCTCGGCCGACGGCCCCTCGCCCTTGGCCTCCTCCGCTGCCTGAGAACTCTCGGCGTCAGCGAAACGCGCCTGGCGCCGCTGGGCAGCAAGAGGGAGCCCTTCGCCGCCACCGGCCTCGATGCCTTGCCCGAGGATGACGGCGCACCAGATCCAGCGCCCGAGTTCCTGCACGAACCCCGCCTGCGCCTGGTGCACGCCAACGGTCCGCTTGTCCACTGCATGCACCTGGGCCCTCCCCAGGGCAAGGCGGTCGGCGTGCTCGATGCCTCGCCTCTGGGCCTCCGTCAGGCGCCCGTTGAGCACTGCATGCCTAGAACAGTCGATGCTGACCTCCTCCACTGCTGGCCTAGCGAGGGTGGCGAGCGTCCAGGCCTCCACGTCCTCGCCGTCCTTGGCCGTCCGCTGCGGGCAGCGGTCGCGCCCGTCTGCCCCGTAGACCTCTGCCACCAGGTTGCCGTCGCCGTCGCGGTGCGCAATGGCTCCGCCCTCCCAGCGCAAGTCGCCGAACAGCGGCTCGAGCGTCGCGCCGTCGAGGTACAGCTTGCCGCTGAGCTTCTCACCAGGCGGCCTGCGGAAACAACGCACCCCCATGGCGTCGGTGCGGCGACCCTGCGGTGGCCTGTGCGCAGGCAGCCAGCTGCCTCTGCCGTACCGCTGGGCCTCGTGCACAGGGCTGCCGTGCTGGCGGTGCCACAAGGTGCCTCTCTCTGCTTCGCTGCAGCGTGCTTGCCCCTGTTCCCGTGCATCGAGGAGCCTGGCCTGCGTCCAGCGCGGGTTGGAGATGCAGGCCCCCAGCAGGTAGGTGTCGTGGCTGAGCTTTCGCATCTCGCGACGAAAGGATGCACTTCGAGCGCCCGGGCCAGCCTCCCAGCCCAGCACCTGGGCCCCGCGGTGCATGAGGTCGAGCTCGTCGCCGAGGTCCGCGATCATGCACTGCTCAGACTTGAAGTGCCAATCGATCCACGCACGGGTCAGCTTCTCCGCGCCGAGGGGGGAGGCGCAATGCTTCCATGGCGCGTCAGCTCTTGCGCGCCTGGTCTCCGCCGCCTCCAGCCCCCGCTCCATCAGCGTAGGCGGCGGCTCGCCTGCCTGCAGCAGGCCCGCCATCATCTGGACTGCGCGGCCTGCCCTGAGAGCTGCAGGGCCCAGGTTACGCCTCCTCCTGAGCTCGCCACAGCGCATGCACAGCCCTCGCTCTGCGCCCATGGGGAGCGCTCCTGCGCAGCGACAGGCCGCCAGCCTCCAACCGTGCAGCTCGCGGTCCGCGTTGTCCGCGACCCCGCTCACCCTGCTGGCCGCGGGCCCAGCCTTGTGGATCGGGTCCAGCCTGCGCGCTCGGCGAAGCGCTCCTGCAGCTCGGACTCTGCCCCCATGTGCTCCCCACCTCGTGCTGGCGGGGTCCGAGCCGAGGTTCCTGGCCATCAAGGTCTCGCCGAGGGTCCAGCCTAGCGACTTCCCGCGCGCCCCGAGCTGGCGTCCTGGGCTGGGGCTCGGAGCGAGGCAGGACGTCTGGGCAGCCCTGAGAGGCAGGCGCTGACCGCGGAGGCGACGCACCACTTCCAGCCCTGCTCTGCCGAACCGCGCGGCCACCAGCTGCTCCGCGCCCACGGCCTGCAGCGCGATGTCGCCGACGACGTAGCGCACCACACCCAGCGGCCTGCCGCCCGCTGGGGCGGCGCGGAGGGCTGCCAGCCCAGGCGGCTTGGCTACAGTGAGGCTACACGCACACCCCGCCAAACCTGCCCCGTTGGTGCTGAACGTCTCTGTGGCCAGGCCCACGACGGAAATGAACCGCGGCCTCTGGCAGAGCACCGCGTCGCCGAAGGCAGCGAGGTTGTCGCGGTAGAAGCCTTTGGGCCCCAGCGAGCATGCCAGTAGCTGCAGGCCTGACGCAGTGGACACTGTGACTCCACACAAGCCCTGCCTCCAGCCTGCGACGCCGCCTGAGTTCGCCAGCTGGCCCTCCTTGCCCGTGGGCGCCGACACGTGGAGGAACGCCGTAGAGCCCATGCGCCACGCTGCTCCTCTGGCCTCCTCCAGGCGGTGCGGAGCCAGGCGGGTCTCCTGGAGCCCTACAAGGCGCGGCGGGGCCCCGCTGCGCGAGCCCGAGGCCTCGGCCCCCTCCAGGCTCCACCCCCAAACGTTGCCGTTGACCCCGAAATCCTCCAGCCCGCAGCGGACATCCTGAGCTGCCGTCCCAGCCTGGCCTGGCGCCGGCGCGGCCTGCGCACTCCCGAGGTCGAGGGGCCGCGTGCCTCCGAAGCGGGGCGCTTCAGCGCCGCCGCCCTCCTGCTGCCTATGCAGAGCGCCTCTGGCGTGGCTACGCGCAAGACAGCTGTGGCCTCTCACCTCCGCCGCGACTCCCAGCGGCGCGGCGAGCAGGGCGAGCAGCAAGAGGGGCCAGGTCCTCAGCCTCGGCCGCCAGCTCCCGCTTGCACGCCTGGGCGACCTTCGGCCACTCACCGTGGGCGTCGCCGCGTCGTTCGGCCTGGCCTCGCTCCGCGGCACACTGCGGCTGCCAGGGCCTGCAGCCTCCTGCGTGGTCGCCGTCCTCGCTGCTGATCTCGTCCATGGGGCACGACTCCGCCCAGGGCGCTCTCCTCGGGGCGGCAGGGGCCTCGGCAAGCTGCGCGCGCACTGCCTCCACCTGGGAGCGAATGGCCGCCCACGCCACCTCGAAGTTGCTGGAACCCCAAGCCTCGGGCAGCTTGTCCAGCTGCATGAGGAGCCCTGGGACCTGGCTGGCCCCTGCCCACTCGGCCGCTCGCTGGCGCAGCTGCGCCGCAGCCTCCACTCTGGCCTCCTCCTCGAGGGCGTGGAGCGCACGGCTGGCCTCCTCCACCTCCGCGCCGAGCTGCGCCAGCTCCTCCTGGGCCTTCTGCAGCTGGGCCTCAACGAGTCCACGAGCCTCTTGCTTCTGCTCCAGGCTCTGGCGCGCTGCTCGGAGGCGCTTCTCCGCCTTGCTGATGACGTTCGCCTCCTTGTGGAGCATCGTCGACAGCGGCATGGAGGACGCCTTCTGCTCCGCAGCTGCCCGCTGGGCCTCTGCCAGTTCTGCGCGCTTGGCCTCCAGCTGGCTGGCGACGACGTCGGTGAAGCAACAGTCGACTCCATCGGGCGGCTCCGCCTGCAGCGCCTCCAGCTGCTCGACCGCCACTTGCAGCCTCTCGATCGCCGTGGCGCCGCTGCCGCTGGGCGTCCCACTGGCGCCCGACGCCGAGGTCTGCGACTTGGAGGTTGCCGCACTCGTTGCCGCACTGCGGGCCTGCCGCTGCGCACGGCGCCCGCGTGGCTGATCCACCCAGCCGTCCTTGTCCGCCTGGGGCTTGGCCTTGGCAGCGGCATCCAGCGCCCAGGGCGGGGCCGCGTACCCACAGCCAAAGCACGTGGTGCGCCAGTCCCAGTTCCACCCACCGCAGCTGCACATCCAGTACGTCCTGCTGCGCCTGCCTCCACTGTCGCCACCCCGCAAGGGCCGCGCCATGGCCCAGGCCACGTGGGCTGACAGGATGCGCCTCCGCGCTGCGTATGCAGGGAGCAAAACAGAGAATTGCATTGGCCCAAAGCAAGGAGCCCCTCGCGCTCGGAACGCCGCGGACGACTCGCGGTCGTCGGGTGCTCCATGGCCTTCAGCCAAAATGGCTACGGAAGGGTCATGTGTGTTCTGCCGTGCTCCTGTGTGTTCTGCCGTGCTCTCGCGCGTTTTGCCGTACTTCTGCGTATTGGGATGCCGTGATCCTGCCCATATTCTGGAGATGTCTCAGGCGAGAAGCTCAGTTCTAACACGCGTGGTCTCAAATCAGCCTTTTCAGCATCTTATTTGCTCGAGGATGTCTCAGGCGATATCCCCATTTCCCTACGTTTGTTAAATTCTCGATGCTCATGTTCTGGTGGATGTCTCAGGAGACATGCTTGTGTTCGTGAAAGAAGGTGTTGCGAACAACGCATTGGGCCTCGTTTGGGGCTCGTTTGGGGCTGCCTCGACGCCATCAAAAACATGCCGATGCAATGTCACACACATCTTTTTGTTGAGGATGTCTCTCGCGAAATCGTCATTTTTGGAAGCCTGGCTTGGGCCGTCTGGAAGCCTTTTTCAAGAGCGATCCCAAGACGATGTTAGAACAGCAGTTGACAAAACGATGCTGTTGTTTTTTCATGTTGTGAGAATGTCCCTAGCGAAATCGTCATTTTCGGCAGTCATCAGGGCGCTCTTGGAGCCATATTGAGGTCATTTTGGGGCTGTCATTTCTTCCTCTTGAAGCACTTCAAGAACAGTCAAGACGATGTTGAGAACATCTCATTTGTGTTGGGTATGTGCCCAGCGAGATGCAAATGTTCTGCCGTGCTCTTTTTTCTGGTCCGCCGTACTGACGGGCATTTTCCGAGGATGTCCCTAGCGAAAACGCCGTTGTCCACATAAGCGGCCAGTCTATGTGACCGTGGCATGCGGAAGTCGATGCGGCTGGCGCGCGTGCAAATCATGGAATGACTCCTTTTGGCCTCCATCAAGGTGGCACGAGATGATTTTGCGCGTATGATAATTGACGTACCGCGGAAAGCTCGAGGCAAAGTGCTTGACCCGAAATCTCTTGAGCCAAAATCGCTACGGATTGGGCCCAATGCCTACTAACTAAGGCCCCAGGCGCGCGCGCGGGCGCCCAGCGCAGACCCCACGGGCCCTACGACCAGATCTGACCCTGTAGGCGGATGGGCCGTGGGCCCAGCGGGCCGACGCCGAGGACGAGGGCGCCAGGCGGAGCCACGAAGCCCAGAGGGCCCGCCCAGAGATCCCAGAAGCCCCCCTCCGACGGGCGCCTGCGCAACCAGCGCTTCTGGGCCTGCCGCGTCGACGGCGACCGCCGCCTCGCTGGGCCTGCCCGGGCCTGCAGCTGGCGCCCAGGGCGCCGCACCGTCCTGGCGGCAGGCGCCCGACGCCACCTCTGGCGGACCGCTGCCGCGGGACACCAGCGCGGCTTCCGCTGCCTGCGCCCGCCTCTCGGCCGCCTCGGCCCGCCGCTCCGCCGCTGCAGCCTCCGCCTCCAGGGCCTCCGCACGCGCCTCCAGCGACGCCACCTGCTGGGCGTGCTGCCGCTTGCTCGCCTCCAGCCGCGCAGTGGCCTCCAGGCAGTCGCCCCTGCTGGAGGCATCCTCCGCCTCCCGAGCAACGGCGGCGAGGATCGGCCTCTTGGCGGCGCGATCTGCCAGGGTGCAGATGGCCTGGGTCACCACCCCACCGGAGGCGTCACGCACCGCGTCCGCAGGCCCCAGCCAGGACCCCTGCTCGAGGCCTGGCGCGAGGCCCTCGCCCTTGTCGAGCATAAGCAGCAGGTCCAGATTGGCCAGGTAATGGGGCGCGTCCGCGAGCATCAGAGCCGCGTCGCGGACCGCGGCCTTGAAGCCGTCGCTGCCGCTCCCAGCCCGCATCAGCACGGAGGCGGCCCAGGGATAGCGGTCCACCGCGAGCTTCAGCCCTGCGGTGAGGGCCCCCAGCAGCGCAGGCCTCTGAGGCCCCTCGCCCGGCACCTTCAGGCCGCTCCTGGGGAGAACACAGAAAGGCCGATACCACCACTCACTGGGCCACTCCCAGGGTGCCTTCTGACCAGAATCTCGAGGCGAATCCAGCGGTGGCGATGAGGGCTTCCCAGGAAGCCCAAAGAGGCCAAACAAGAGAGTAGTAGCGGTATCGGTACCTCTTCCTCCTCTGACCTCCACCCCCTGAGCAGCAGCTCCAGCGGGGAGAGGCCCTCGCTGTCCGGCAGCAGCAGCGCCAGGGGCGCCGCCTCCGCCAGCCAGCTGGCGACGTCGGCGCAGTGGCCGCACTCCCTGGGCGGGAGCGCCGCGGCGGCGCGGCAGAGGCGGTGAAGGGCGGAGCCACTGGCGTCGACGAACAAGGGGTTCTCTCGGCTACGCGCGGGAAATGGCCCTGGGCAAGGGTGGCCTTCTGGTGCGCGGCTTTACTGTCAGGAGCTTTTGCTTAGCGTTTCGCAGCGACGGCCTCGGCGACACGCTGTGCCCTGCGAGCGGATAGCGTGCCGCTCCGCCCCGCGGAGCGGGAGGCTAGGAAAAGCTCTGGGCTAGGGGATCTACCGACCCGGGGCTATCCAGACCCGGGTCAGTGGGGCCTTGCAGGATCCTGCAAGATCCTGCAGGATCCTGCAGGATCCTGCTCCCAAGCCTGGGCCAGTGCGACCCTGACCCTGCAGGATCCTGCAAGATCTGATGCTCTGACTGACCCCCATTTGCATTGACCCCGTCTCTCGAGCCCCGATGGGCGCTGACGCCTGGGGACCGGGCCGTGGACAGCGTGTCGCGCCGAAGCGTGGTGGGCCAGAACCCGCGGCGCGACACTCATCTGAACCGAAACGCCGTCTCTGCGACACATCGGCTGCACTGCTGGCGCGACGGCCTCTGGTTGCGGTTTTTCGCGATGTTGCACTTTTTGTTCGCAGCATCGGATCTCAGGGGGGATTCTCTCAGCTTCGACCGCGGGGAGTGGTCCTCTGAAGCGCGCGGGCTTGAGGCTCAAGAGCATCATGAAGGGCGCTGGGAGGGCGAACGTGCTTGAGGGACTGGGACAGCCTTCCAGCAAGTTGATCAGAAACGCTGGCCCAGATTTTCGTGAGGTGTGCTAGTCTAATACGTCGCCCGTGGGTGCCCCGGCGCCGCGCCCGGGCAGCTGCCACGGATCCCGCTGGCTGGGCTGGCCGCGCCAGCACACTCAGGTGAGAACTCTTCCACTTACGAGTGGCCTTTTCTTCCCCTCCCTCCGCGGCCACCCCCTCTGTCATCTTCCCGCTCTTGCACGCTGGCCAATTCGCTTCTCGGTGCCCCCGTTTAGCTCTACCGCTGGTGCAGCCAACTCTGCCCCGCCGCCGACGAAAAAGGTGTGCTAATCGTATGCTCGGCCGTGGGGCCCAGCTCGGTTTCGGGAGGATGTTTCCTCCGAGGCTCGGTGCGGCCAGAGTGGCTGCCTGGTGCGCGGCCTCTTAGGGGTCGGAGGAGAACCAGTGAAGACCCCGGCGGCCCTCCCCGGCCTTCCTTTGATCATGCCTGCGCCTCCTGGAAGCTTCTCGTCGCCACGGCTGGGTCCGCCGCGTAGGGGTCGGCGGAGAGCCAGTGGAGACCCTGGCGGCCCTCCCAGGCCTTCTTTGGATCCTGGGCCTCCTGGAGGCTTCTTGTCGCCACGGCTGGGTCCGCCTCGAAGTGGAGGGGTACAGGAACACACAAATACATGCACACAGATCCCAGGATTCCCTGTATTTCCCACATTTTCTGGAGTTTCGTCTCCCCCCCTTTCCATATTTTCCCATACTTTCCTGGGGATCGACGATCAATTGTGCCTGTGTGTCTCTTCCCCTCCTGACGAAGGGCGGACCAGGACAGACCACGGCAGGGGTCCAGGAACCTGTGGAGTGGGAGCTGTAAGCAGGGCGGGAGACGCGCCGTGGCCTCAACTGTGAAGGGGCCCTGGGACGCACAAATAAACACACGCAAATAACAAGATTCCCCATATGTTCCCATATTTTTTCTGTTTTTGTCTTCCCCTCAACTTCGCAAATTTTCCCATACTTTCTGGGGGGTCGACGATCAGTTGTGTCTGTGTGTTTTTCCCCCTCCTGAAACTGGCCACCCCCCGACCCCAGGCAAGGGGGACCTCCGGTGCGCGCCCTCCAGGCGTGCAGGCCCCGGCGCGCAGACCGCCACTGTTGAGTCGGGCCTGTCCCCCTACAGGGGGAATACTCAAAAATAGTCCAACAGGTAGTCTGGGGACGATCTTTTGAATATCTCTTGGCCATGCCGGGGTATTTTTTGACATTTTAAAATATGTCGTCCAGAATCCCCCTGTAGGAGGACAGGCCCGACTCAACGCCACTGTCGCAGCGCACTCCGCGATCGGCGGGCCCCGCACCAAAAGCCACTCCGGCAGCGAAGGGCCACTCCGTCGCGCGGCCGGTGTCTCGCACAGGCGGTCGGCGCCGCTGGGGTCGAACAGCGCGTTGCGCGCCCGCTTCCTGCACGGGAACAAGCAATGGCATAAACATAAAGACTTGGAGGCCGCGCGGATTTCTCGGATCGGCGCTGGGACCTCCCTCCATGGCGCGCGGAGCGCGCCAGGGGCGGCGCTGGAGGAGCCGCCAGGGGGCCCCAGCGCCGATCCGAGGAATCCGCGCGGAGCTCCGAGCTTTTATGTTTATGCCATTGCTTGTTCCCCCATCCTGGGCCGGGGCGCGGCCGGGTCGAGCGCGGCAGAGAGCAGCGACTGCAGCTGGGGGCGCCCGGGCTGCGCCCCCGCCCGCACCAGCCGCAGCACATCCTGCGGCCGGGGTCGCAGGAGTGCGAGGCCCTGGGCAGGAGCGGCCCTCGGGCGCGCGGCCGACGGCGGATCGCTGCGCGCGCTGCCGCAGCCGTGCTGGGGCTCCCGGGCTCGGGCCTAGGCTCAGACTTGGGCCCGGGTTCGGGCCCGGGCTCGGGCTAGGCCTCGGGCTCGGGCTCGGGCTTAGGCTCGGGCCTAGGCTCGGGCTTGGGCTCGGGCTTGGGCCGGGGCTCGGGCCAGGCCTCGGGCTCGGGCTCGGGCTTAGGTCGGGCCTGGGCTCGTGTCTGGGCTCGGGCTCGCGGTCGAGGCCCGGCGCGCCCCCCGGGGGCCGCGCGCCAAGGGTCGCTCCGTCGAGGGGTCACTCTTGCGGTGCAGCCGGCAGCCTGCAGCGAGACCTCCCGCGGGCGCGCCATGGCGCGCACGAGGCGCCCCTGAGCAACCTCGCGGAGCTCCTCCAGGTGCTGCCGCGTGCCAGCCCTGCAGCAAACCTCTATAGACATGCTCGCGTCGCGACGGCCGGTTGTTGGCCGTTTTCGGTCCCCGGTTGCCCTCGCCAGGCCCTGGGCCTGTAAAAGAACGACTCAGGATGAAAAACCAAACCAGCCGTAAAAAACTGGACATCGCATGTCTGGGCACACCTCGTAGAGGGTGAGGGCTGGCGTGTCCGCCGGGAACACCGCGTCCACCTGGGGCGCTCCAGAAAGGCCTCGCCTCCGAAGGGGTCGGCATCTCTTCCTCGGCGGAAGGCGGCAGAAGTAAAACAGGGGCGGCTCCGACGGCGGAGCGGAAGGCCAGCGGAAGCCGGAGGAAGCAAATGCTTCTTTGGATGCGGGGTTTCCAGGGCCATCCACATGGAGACTCGGGGTTGCGGCGGGGCTCGAGAGCCTCGTCAGGCTGCAGGACGCGCGGACCTTCTCGATGGGGATCTGGTAGCAGACGTCCAGCGGCCCGTCGCGGCCAAGGGCGTCGAGGTTTAGCGGCTCCGACGTCTTCAAGAAGATGTGGACCAGGGACTGCTGCACACCGTGCGGTATCAGCACTTTCGGCTGGGACATGGTGATCCCGAGCCTCAACACGGGAGACCGCAGCCCCATCCTCATCTCAATCCTCCACCTGTCCTCCCTGCTGCTCCACATCCTCCTGCTCCTCCTACTCATCTTCATCATCATCATCATCATCATCATCATCATCATCATCATCATCATCATCATCATCATCATCATCATCATCATCATCATCATCATCATCATCATTAGCAGCATCATCATCCTCATCACCATCAGCATCAGCATCAGCATCCGCATCATCATCAGCAGCATCAGCATCAGCATCAGCATACGCATCAGCATCCGCATCATCATCAGCATCAGCATCAGCATCAACATCATCATCCTCATCAGCAGCACCATCATCACCATCATCATCAGCATCAGTATCAGCATCGTCGTCGTCGTCGTCATCGTCATCGTCATCGTCATCATCAGAAGCATCATCAGAATCGTCAGCTTCATCATCGTCATCATCATCAACAACACCATGATTTTCGCCGTCGTCATCAACATCACCACCATCACCATAATGATAGATGTCACATTATCATGGTCATTCTCAACATTATGATAAGACTCATCCTTGTTCCATGCCCTTCCCCCACACCCACCCCACGGCCCACGGCACATCCGCACAGATTCTTCCTTCATTCTCCCGACCATCTCCCTCACCATCACCACCACCACCGGCACCATCATCACCACTACCACCATCATGATGAACATCATATGATTCATTATCACCACCATCCCAGTCCCAATCCCCATCAGACGTGCGTGGGCT